TATTTTCCAGCACATTAAGCATCCTTCTACAAAGCATAGAGCCACCCTTGACCTGCTAATCTGCCAAAAGACACATACATTTTGTTGATGCCCACAGCTTTCCTTTTCCTTGTGCAGAGTGGGAACATGCTTCTTCCTTGTAGGAGGACAGACCTCCTTTGTAGGCAAACATCTGCTTGTCTGCCACGTTCTTGGTTGAGTCACAGCTAACCTCTGCCTTTCTATCTTTTAGTTTTAAAAATGGGTTATTTCATTTGCCAGCAAGGAAATTATCAAAGAACAAGTAGCCAAAGGAATCACTGGATCTATGAAACTTTTGTGAATGAAGATTTTATTTTTTGAGACAGGGTCTTATGTATCCCAGACTGGCCTCAAACTTGCTACATAGCCAAGGATGAAACTGAACTTCTGATCCTCCTGCCTCTACCTTTGCCTCCTAAGTGCTGAGATTATAGGCATGCACCATCATATTCAGTGTTATGAGGTGCTGGGGATAGAACTCAGGATTTTGTGCATGCTAGGCAAACCCTCTACTAACTGAGATACATGCTCAGCCAAAAGAATTGTACTAGGAATGAGATAAATATTGAGAGAGAGAGAAGCGGGGGGAGCTGGGGATTGAATCTCGGGCCTTAATTGTGCTAGACAAGTGTTCTACCACTGAGCTGTGTGTGTCCCTAGCCCTTCAATGAAATAAATTTAAAAGTGGAAATCATCCTGTTTGAGATTAGCTTCAAAGTCCTTGATCTCATACTTCATACAACTCTCCCAACTTTTGTTTGGGCCAGAAAACTAACTTCTTAGCTTATTTCAGGAACTCCTTTCAGTGAAGTTACTGGGCAACGGTATCACAGTGGGTTAAGTATGAGTTGAGTCCATTTACTCTGATGCTACATCATGAAAAGGTCTTTGACTTACATCATCATCATGGTACATAGCTTATTGTTCTTATTTCTGTTTTTGTTTTGTGGGTTTCGACCTCTAGCCCAGGCTGGATTGGTACTCACTGTGTAGCCCAGCCCAGGCTGGCCTCCAACTTGAGATTCTCCCAAGTAATGAGATTACAAGTGTGCTCTAATATGCCTGCCTGCTTCCTCCCTGACAACCCTCCCAACTCCTTTCTCTTGCACATGTCTGGTAAGTGGTGCTCATGTCCCACACAGTAACCCTAGGAAGCTCTATTCATACAAAGATCATGTTGAAATATGGCTCTTTTTTTTTTCTCTTTCTTAGTAGTAATATGTTCTATTGTACTAAGTAAATAATACTAAGAAACCTATGATTGAAAAAAGATCTCTTCTGTTTTCAACTAAAGAAGCCAAAGTTAGTTCTAGAACCTTTCTTCTGGGATTACTCTGAGCAAGCCAGCAAGGGTCATTTTGTGACCAATTCTTACTAGTAGATGATGAAACAAAAGACGATCTGCTTCAGCTCAGTGTCTGAGTGTCTGACCTTTGGGTGTGTTTGTTCTTCAGTAAGTTTCCCTCTTACAAGCCACATGAGCCGTGCAATTTAAATGTGCTTGTCTCAACTCTACCTTTTCTTTTTTTGTTTGGTCTTTTTGAGACAGGGTCTCCCTGTAGCCCCAGCTGGCCTGGAACTCACTGTGTAGACCAGGCTGGCCTTGAACTTACAGAGATCTACCTGCCTCTGCCTCCCAAGTGCTGGAACTAAAGGCATGCACCACCACATCTGGCTTAAGACTACCTTCTTGAATGGGATGAGGAGAAGGTCATTTTCCAAAAGGTTTATCTTCTTTTCTAGTCCTTTTTAGACATTTTAGGAAAAGTTGTTTCTAAGACATCTGTGATTTCATTGACTGACCTGTAATTAAGGAACATGACCAGCCACTTAAAAAAAAAAACAACAACAACAACACACCTGTTGGGCCTGGTAAGATGGCTCAGTGGGTAAGGGTACTTGCTGCCAAACCTCAAGACCCAAGTTTCATTCCTGGGACTTGGATGATGAAAGGAGAGAACTGACTCCTGAAAGTTGTCCTCTGACCTCTACACATTATAGTGACATGCACGTGCACTCACAGATATGAGGGGCGGGGGCAGGGGAGACTGGGCCAGTATTCTTATGGGAAAAAAAGAAAGCTGTCTAAAGCAGCTGGCCTTTCTTCCTTTTCAAATACAACTTACATTTTCAGCTTGAAGGTTAAACAATGCCCACCTCTAAATCCATTAACTTCCTTCAAATGGAAATCTAGAGGAGGATTAGTAGAAAAGGGTCAGGACTCAAGATGTTTGGTTATCTAATTAGACGTTCCCATCAGGAACATTGACTCTCCTACATCCTTTTCCTTGGGATCGTGTTTCTGATGTCCCCTGGTCCAGAGACTTCCCAGATTCCCAGGACCTGGCTGTTAACTCAAGAGTTATGGCCAGGGATGGTGAGATGGCGCAGCACTTGATGCTCGAATGTGCAAACTAGACGAACCGAATTCAATCCCGGAACCCATGTAAAGGTGGAAGGAGAGAACTGACCCCACAAAGTTGTCCTTTGATCTTCACATGTGCTGCGTCAAGCATGCTTACACATATACATTACACACACTCTCTTTCTCTCTGATAATAATGATAATAATAATAGTAATCGCCAAAGAGGAAACAAGAAGTTCATAATAAAAGCTCAAATTTCTTTGCATTAGTCAGCTAGTGATTCTTTTTGGGTCATTCTCATCTCAGACTAATGTAAATTTTTCAGAGAGAGAGAGAGAGAGAGATAGATTATAAACCTGTTAAAAGAGCTATTTATTTAGCTTTGGTTAGTTCCTACAATCAACAGACCTCTAAGAAAATGATCACATCAAATTCACTTCCAGAAACTATCAAACTTGAGATGGTCAATTCAGAAGAACTAGAATGTTCGCTCTTCCTTCCTCCCTTCCTCCCTCCCCGCCTCCCTCCAGTCATAGTGCTTTTCCTTCTTTTTGTGACAGGGTTTCCTGCTGCTTAAGTTGGCCTTAAACTTGTTTTGTAGCTGAGAATGGCCTTGAACGCCTAATCCTCCTGTCTCCACCTTCTGGAGCACTGGGATGACAGGTGCTAAGATGATAGGCACACTCTTGATAGAAGATACCAACACAGAGCACTGTAAGCCTCACAGTCAGCTGCAGGGTCAAGGAGCTAGGCTCTGTGGTCTCCACCTACACCATTTACTTTGTTACATATAGCCTTTATATGGAAGATAAACTGACTTGGCCAATTATCACCTTTCTCTGATGCAACAGGAAGAAAAAAAAATAAGAAAAGTGGGCATGTTTGTTGGTGAGATAGACCACTCCTTAGAAGCTAGTCCCCTTCCTGAGAGGCGCAAGTGAGAGATTAAGAGCACAGATTTGAAGGACTAGAGAGTTGGCTCAGTAGTTAAGAGCACTGACTGCTCTTGCAAATAATCTGGGTTCAGTTCCCAGCACCCACATGGTGGCTACCAACAGTCAGTAACTACAGTTCCAGCGGATCTGATGCCCTCTTCTGCCACATCTATGTAGCATTTATGTTGGTTCTGGGGATTCAAATGCTTGTTCTAAGCACTTTAACCACTGAGCCATTCCACTCACTTTTGAAATATATGACTTAGTGTTGTTGACTAGGATAGCAACTCCCTGAGGACAGAAATCTCAATCTCAATCTCCCCCCAACCCCCGGTTTTTTGAGACAGGGTCTCACTATGCAGCCCCAGCTGGCCTAGAACTTTCTACGTCAACTAGGCTGGCCTCAATCTCATAGCGATTCCCCCTTCCTCTGTTGGATTTGGATTTAAATGCCTACCTGACCCAAATCCTCTCTTCTTTATAGTACCTAGCACAGAGCCTGGTGCACAGCAGATGCTCAGAACGTGTTTGTTACCTGTTTAACAGTGTCTCTACTGATTGCAACATTAACATACTATCACCCACCAGGCCTTATGATATAGGTGCTTTTTGTTTCCTTACTTATTTTTAGAGTCTTACTCTATAGCCCAGACTAGCGTGAAACTCACCCAGACTACCATCAAAATTGTAGCAATCCTCGAGCCTTAGCCTTCCAAAAGTTGGGATTCTAGGTGTAAACCACCATACCTGAATGTTGGTTTGTTTTTTGAGAGGACTTGCTATGTAACCTTGGCTAGTCTTAGTCTTGCAATCCTCCTGACTCTGGCTCCCAAGTGCCAGGATTACAGGTGTGTATCATCACAGTAGGATAACATGAAGGCTTTGCAAATTTTTGTCTTTGAAACATGATCTTACTCCATAGTCTAGGCTAGCTTTGAACTCCTGGCAATCCTCCTGCCTCCGCCTCTCAAGTGTTGACATTATAGATGTGAGCTACAACACTCAGCTGCAAATCTTGAATTCTGGAAATCAGGCCATGTGGCTTGGGAGGTCCTGTTTAGCCTGCAGCATGGATCTGGATGCTGTTTCAGACACACTGAGCATAGGTTTTCCTTTCAGTGCTAGTAACCTGAATTCTTCATTGAGTAAATTCACTGAGTTCCTATTAATTTACTCAGGAAACTACTATTATTTGTTCTCCCCTCTCCCCCTGCTCCAAAAGAAAAGAAACTACATTGTATGTTATGAACATTTTATGTGGGTCACTTAGGGATTATGAGACTCTGGGTCTCCATGAGACACACCTCATAGCTAAATTATTGTTAAATTGTGTGTGCAAAGGGAGGTATCACACAGCTGATGATACACAGTGAATGTTAGAGAAAGCTCACTACCAGATACTTCCATGAAAAATCTGTTCTAAGAGAATTGGAGATAAATCCTTTCTTTCTTTCTTTCTTTCTTTTTTTTCCCTTCTAATTCTTTTGGACCATCAAGTCTTAAGGGGACATTATAGACATATAGCGTTCTGGCTAGCATGTTAAGCAAATACAAAAACAACATGTTTAAAAATAATAATAAAGGGCAATGACTCACACGTGGCGTTGCTATGTAGTGTTCTGTACCCCTGGATCATGTTCATTTGAGCAGTGTTGAGGAATAAGCTGCCTTAACTTACCAAAGTTCCCCAGAGAGGCCCGGAGTTGCTGAGCACTGCTGGGTGGCTTGGGGCAAGATATTCTTCTAATTCCTTTGTTACCAGAGCTGTGAATGGAAAAGATGGTTATTAGTGACCAAAAGATGCTAATGAGGAGTCTGGTTAAGAACCACTGACAGGGACCAGCAAGATGGTTCAGTAGGTAAAGGCATTTGCTGCAAAATCTAACAACCTGAGTTGACCCCAGGACCTACAAGGTGGAAGGTTAGAACCAATTCCTGCAAGTTGTCCTCTGACCTCTGCTGGTATGCCGTGGCATGCACACTCCTCATCCCCCACATACCTGCACAATAAATAAATAAATGTAATGAAAGATTTTTCTAAACAAAGGACTACTGATAGGAATGGAGGAAGATAGGAAGAATAAGAATGTGGTGTTCTGCCAGTCTTACAAGGGTATATAACCAGGTATTATGAGAAATTTCCACCGGCCCACTGAGGAAAAAAGTCACATCCTTTTGCTGGTTTTGCAAGGCTGCTCATATTAACTGTATGACATTGGTGTGTTGGGAGTCAGGGTGGGATCTCACTCTGGTAAAAAAGGAGGAACAGGGAGGGGAGGCTTACAGATTCAACAAGGTGCAGAAACTCAACCTGCTAGCTGGGTCATCCCAGGCATTTACTTGTTTTGTTTTGCTTTGCTTTGTGACAGGGTCTCATATAGCCCAGGCTGGCTTCCAACACTCTATGTAGTAAGGCTGGCCTTGAACTCTTGATCTTCCTGCCTCTACCTCTCAAGTGCTGGGATTACATGTGGGAGCCACCAAACCTTATCCTAAATTGTGAGTATTCTAAACATTCCATCAATGTTTGGAGCCCTTTACAGCTGGCCTTCCTGCTCAAAGATTCCCTATTATGGTGACAAGAACACTTTTCAGTAGCTAGGTTCTATACAGCAGATTGTATAATAATACCATTCCACCAAAACCCTCATTCTTGCCCCTACCAAGAAAGACCACAACCTTACCTCTTGGGGCAAAAAAATCATGCTAACTACTGGAGCCCATCAGTAATCATTTGTTCCAAAGTTCTTCCCAGTGCAGTGGCCAAGTTAAGTAAGTTTGAGCTTTTGATTAACATACAGTGCTTGAAGGAACTTTGGCCCACAGATACTTGGCGTTTGCCTTGTTTCTCTGAGTCCAACCTATGTCACGAGTGCCCATTTCAAGGGTAATAAGGGACCCGACTGTTTGCTTATAGCAAACGGAGGTGGTGCCATATCATTACCCAGCTTTAATCTCCCGGTCTACCAAACTCTTGGCAAAGGAAGTGCACAGCCCACAGGTCAGCCTTTGGAGTGAACAGAATGAAAGGAGACAGAGATTTCTCAACTGAAAACACCTAAGTTCTACCTGGCATTTTGAAACATCAGTTTCTTAAGACACAGGAGTGTGGTTCCAAGACCAAAGGGCTTGGAGTAGAGATTGTGTGTATGAGTGGACACATATTATAATCACCCGGATCTGACTGGAGACATAGACCCCATGGTTCCTGGGCTCCCCTTTATTGATGTGTTATAAAACAAGAATCGAATACAAGGAAGAAAGCACAGAAGGTGAGAGTCCACGCCCCTGCCTGGGCCAGGACACACAGTTCTGCCTTCATATGCTAAAGCCACAAACCCCAATGGCTCAGAATGTAACTATATTTAGAAATCAGATCCTTAAAGAGGTGACCCAAGTAAGAGGTCACTGGGATGGGCCCTAACGTAATATGTTTGGAGTTCTTATAAGAATGTGAGGGGTTGGCGGGCATGGTGGTGCACACCTTTAATCCCAGCACTCGGGAGGCAGAGGCAGGAGGATCTCTGTGAGTTCGAGGCCAGCTTAGTCTCCATGGTGAATCCAGGACAGCTGGGGCTATAGGGAGACCCTGTCTCAAAAAGCCCCAAAAAAAAAAGAATACGGCTCAGTGGTTAAGAGCACTGGCTGCTCTTGCAGAGGACCCAGGTTCAGTTCCTAGCACCCACATGGCATCTAACAACTGTCCTAACTCCAGTTTCAGGGAATTCAATGCCCTCTTCTTACCTCTACAGGCACTGCACAACATGGGTGCACTTACATGCACGCAGTACACTCATACACACAAAATACTAAATTTAAAAAAAAAAAAAAAAAAAAATTGTTATTCTGGCTAGCATATACAAGGAGCAATGGAAACTGGGAAGGTGATGAATCCTGCCCCTTAAACACAAACATACACACACACACACACACACACACACACACACACACACACCATCTAGAATAATCAAGAAAGACAGGAGCCAAGTCCTGAAGGATGAGTTGGTGTGCCCAATAGTCAGGATGAAAGATGAGGAGAGACTATTTTCTAGCAGAAGGAACAGGAAGTTCCTGTGGGGCAGGGACACAAGAGAATGATAACAGTTAGGCAAGTGAGATGGTGGGTGGGCAGGCCCGATAGCTGAATGAGTCACAGCTCATAGAACTCACACCTAATAGCTCAGGGAGTCACAAAAGAATTGCAGTCAGGAAGGAGTTTTCCTGGAATCACATTGAGGAGCACCCTGAGCACAATGGAGGAGTAAAGGCAGGGCAGCCTGTTGGGAGAAGTTGAGGTAGGAACTAGGGACACAAACACAAGGATGCTTGGGGTCAAAGTTAGGGATGCAGAACTGGAATAGTCAGTGTATTCCACCACTGCCACTGGGAACTTTGCCCAAGGACATCATGGACAGAGACACAACACCGCCATTTAGGGAGTGAAAATTGGGGCGGGGGGTGGTACGGGGGAGAGAAGGAAGGAAGGAAGGGAGGAAAGGAGGGAGGAAGGAAAGAAAGGAGGAAGGGAGGAAGGGAGACTTTGATTATTAGCCCAGGGCAGCCTTGAACTCACACTGTAGACCTTGAACTCCTGATCCCCCTGCCTCCACTTTCCAAGTGCTAGGATCCTGGTCATCTGCTCATGTGAGAAAATATATTTCTTTAAAAATTCTACTTTTGCCATCAGAAAACAAGCCTCATTCCTTTCTACCTATTACTGAAGCATCGCTGTACCTCAGTTTCTTCACATTTCTGCCAGTCTATCAAGATGACTAAGAACAGCACTTCCTTCATAGGGAGGATTCCTTGAGTTAATTAATCTAAGTACTTAAGTGCAATGAATGCTAATTAAAGCAGAAATCAATGTTAAAAAACAAATGAGAAATCAGAGGTGGTGTAATTAAAGACAGTTCTTCCTCTCAGTGCATATGAGCCAGATCAAAACAAACAAGGCCACAAGGGGTAAAAACCTATATAACTGTCTGGAGGTGAGCTGGGTTTCATTTCCCTGACTCTCTCCTGGGCACTCGCACAGCCTTCTTTTTTAAAAAAATATTTTTTTTATTTATTTTAATGTGTGTAAATGCACTGTGTTGTGCAATGCTTTTGGAGGTCAGAAGGTGGCATTGGAACCCCTGGAACTGGAGTTACAGATGTTAGCTACCATGTGGGTACTGGGACTTGAACCCTGGTCCTCTGCAACAGCAGTCAGTGCTTTTAACCACTGAGGTATTTCTCCAGTCCCTTACACAGCCTTCTAAGAAGGGTCATAATAAATGGCTTCTCAGCCTTTTAGCTAAGATCAAGTGTAGAAAAGGCCATACTGTTTGTGAAGAGAAGCTGGGCATAGAAGCTTGCATCTATAATCCAAGCAACGGGAGGATGAGGCAGGAGTAATTAGTGAGCTTGAGGCCAGCCTGGGCTACCTAGTGAGTTCCCAGCAAGCCTGGGCTACAAGGTGAAATTCCATCTCCAAAAACAAAAGGAGTCAGGTATGGTAGCACACACCTTAAATCCCAGCACTCCCTAGGCAGAGGTAGGCGGATCTCTATGAGTTCAAGGCCAACCTGGTCTACATAGCGTGTTCTAGGCCAGCTGGGGCTACAGAGAAACCCTATCTCAAAAACAAAACAAAACAAACCCCCCAAAAAACTATTCAAGAGGACTAAAAGGGGAGACTGACAGCAGAGGAGCATGAGGGAATGTTCGAGAAAAACAAAAATGTCTATATCTTTTTTTAATATTTTATTTATTATTTTAATTTTACGTGTCTGAATGTATTCCCTGCATGTAAGTGCACCTGCCCTTGGAGGTCAGATGAAGGAACCTGAGTTATAGATGGTTGTTAGCTGCCATGTGGGTGCTGGGAATTGAACCCGAGTCCTCCGCAAGAGCAGTCAGTGCTCTACTGAGCCATCTCTCCAGTCCCGAAAATGTCTGTATCTTGATTGAGGCAGTTCTACAGCATGTAGAGTTGTTAAAAGTCATCACTTAAAATATGGGAAATTTTGGCTGGGGAGACAGCTCAGTTGGTAAAAAGCCCGATACACAAGCATGATACCCTGAGTTTGGCTTCGCAGCACCCACATAAAACTCAAGTCTATGAACTTCACATGGGGGGAGGAAGACGTGTGGAGAGACAGGCAGATCACCAGAGCTCTCTGGTCTAGCCAGCTGGTGATCATTCTGTTCAGTGAAAGACCCTGTGTCAGAAAATGAGGTGGAAGCCAAGAGGAAGAGACCTGACATCAACCTCTGGCATCCATGTACAAACACACACAAAATAGAAACACACATTTACATCACACACACAAGTTAAATTTATTAAGAGTAAATGATACTGCAAGACTGAAGGAAGGAGAGGCAGAAGAAAGGCGAACACCTGTGGGGAAATGGCATTTATATTCCAAAGAAAAGAGAAATGTATGTAGGAAAGTACTTTTCTTAAAACTTTCATTTTAGACAGGTATGATGGTGCACGCCTTTAATCCCAGCACTCAGGAGGGAGTTCCAGACCACCTAGGGCTACACAGTGGACCATGTCTCAAAAACTACAAAAACAAACATTAACAAAAACTCATTTTCTGAGTACGTCCTCCCTTTGTACAAATGGAAGATTAGAATGCAAAAGGGCTTCCTTAGGCGAGATATTTTGAAAAAGTCCAAAGTCTTCACCCTCCAAAGCAGTCCTTTTCTACCCCTTAGCTTCACTGGACAAGCCGCCCTCTTGTGGTTTTATATTTCCCAAACACAAAAGCAGGCAG